AACCCTAACCCCTTAACCCTAACCCTAACCCTCTAACCCCTTAACCCCTTAACCCTAACCCTAACCCCCCAACCCCCTAACCCTAACCCTCTAACCCCTTAACCCCTTAACCCTAACCCTAACCCCCCAACCCCCTAACCCCCCAACCCTAACCAAGCAGAATGAGGAGGAGAGAGAGGAGTCCATCCCCGACGACCTGAAAAGCCATGAGGGACGACATCAGAGAATCAGAGATGTTCTAAAAACTGCTGGACGCCACAATGTCATCAATACACTTTAAACTGAACTGGTAAATGGACTCTAAGATCTTTAGTTGCTTCTGTTCACAAAGTTCATCTATGTGCACCACTTTCTATAGCACAGAGCACTCACACACGGAATTGAACCGTCAAACCTTTGTTAAGTAGACGACCCGCTCTACTTCCTGAGCCACAGCTGCCTCAAACTGAGGCTCTTGCAGTTTATAAAGACAACAAGAAGTAGACAACAACAGAAACACCATGTGGCGAGATGATGTCACTGGACTCGAGTCCCAGGTCAGTGGTGAACTTTCGTCCAGAAGCCACAGTTTTTTGACACACTCATTCTTCTGGTCCACACTGATGTCGCACGCCACCGAGGTGAGCGGGTGGTCCACCAACAGCCAGCAGAGGTAAGCCGCATCCCCTCCACCGACCATGACGCTGATCACGTTTGACACCAGAGAAGCCCAGACCTGGAGGCAGAGCAAACACAGAGATCGGAATCTGACGGACACGGTTTCTACTGAGGATGCCAGGATCAGTATACGTCAACCCTAAACAGCCTATTTATTAATAATAAACAGCTGATTAATAATAATAAACAATAATAAGCAGCTGAGTAATAACGCACAGCACACCAACGAAGATCTGAACCACCTGAAAACACACACACACATTTGACCATCTCTGACGCTCACTGCTACACAACACTTGATCTGGTTTCAGCATCTCACCCCAAGCCCATGAGGCTGTACCAGCAGGTAGGGGGCGCGCCAGTCTTTCACCTTGTCAGTGGAGATGGGGGAGGATTTTGCAGCTGTGGGTGGGGCCTGGTGGGTGGCAGCAGCAACAGGATCCTGAAGAGGGATGGGCACTTCCCGCGGAATGGCCTGAGTGATGACCACCACTCCACCAACTGTGGTGACGGAGGACGACATCACCAGAGGTCAGAGACACTGACTTTCCAAAGTTGATAAACTGTCACCTGTAGGTGGCACTTTAATAAAAAAAGAAATTGTTCCATATGAAAACTGCTTAAAAACATGAATACATTTAGACAGTGCATAGTTAGACAGAATAATGTGGATACAATTG